CCCCAAAACCCCAAAACCCCAAAACCCCAAAACCCCGTTTTTTAACCAAAAAATTGAACGCAAAAGGTACCTTAGAAAGGAAAATTAGTAGAAGACATTGGTCAAGTTTCAAAAAATTGATTTAGATAAGGTAAGTAATTCAAATATTAACTACCTGAGCAGTAATATCAGTAGTGATATTATGGCAAAGAAGTCAGGCTAGAAAATGGAGCTTGCACTCTTCTTTAAAGCCTTTACTCCATCAACCATATTATAATCACAACATAATAGGAAAATACTGCTCAGAATTTTGAATGACCACATACTTCATCTATAATTCTTCATTGCTGCGAGACATATTTAAGACCTTTAACTTCGAGCTAGCACTATTTTTATATTTTTCAAGGATTTCCTGAAACTGCTCTCTCTTCAATGATACTATCTTCGGATCTGCTTGCTTCTTCTATGAGTTAGATAGTATAGAACTTTCTTTAACTAATTTGTCTTTGCTTCTGAATTAACGAAACCCAAAGAATTATGTTTCTCAAGAATTCTCACTGGTGAGATTAAGAAATTCTTACCTTGAGGAGTACAAACTTGCTATCACTCTTATGTGTGCTACTATTTGGAAAGTGGATCTTAGGATAAGACCTCTTAGGCGGTTCCCTAGACTTACTGCTAGTCCACGCAATCTTGGATCTATCTGATCCTCTGTTGGTCTGGTTGATATAAGGTAACTTCATCTTAGTGGCTTGGTACCTGTGATTACTCTTATTTTCTTCCCTTCGAACCTTTTTCGAATAAAGCTTTGAAGAGAACATCATCTTTCTGGATTTTTCTATTTTAGAATCATGGTTATCAAATGTGGAACTTCACGAAGGCTTATTATAACCTTGCAATGAACTTTTATTTTTCTTTGGAGTGATGTTATTTGCTCTTGATCGGCCCTGATCAAAGTAGGATTTCATTTTTCCTCAACTGTTATTTACTCAGAGGTTTCTTTAAATTTAACTTCTTGAGTTGCTTATTTATACACAGGCTTCGAGAAATGATTTGTGAGGTTTGAGTCAAGGAAATCTTTGTACTCTGGGATCTTACTTCCTACTTTCTTAGTGCAATCAAGGGTGAACTCCCTATAAACCCTTCTTTTCTTCCTCTTAATTTTGATATTCTTATTACTATGAGATTGTGTAAGCTTCTCATTAGTTTTCTGTGCGGTGGCTGCACGAAACTCTGTGTCATCTTTATAAAAATAATCTTTCTCAAATGGAACTTGGGTGTCGTTAAGCTCAGCCTCTCTTGTTGCTCCTCCTTGTCCTTCTTGCATTAGACAAAGTTATTGTAATAAAAATTATTTCTGAAAACTAAGGGGTTTTGGGGTTTTGGGGTTTTGGGGTTTTGGGG